ATAGTTCTGAACCTGTTCATTTATAAAGCCAGAATACTACCAAGACATGTGAATACAAGGAGGCATTACTGCAAATTCCAGAAGTCAAATGGAATACCAGAGACACTATTTACTGCCATGTTCACAGATTATGATGATACAAAAACATTGTATGAGTTATATTTGTGCTTACTAATGAGAATATCAACACAAGTAATTCATTAATTTATATTTGCTTTTGGTCATTGTTAATGGTTTCTTCAATTTTGGAATTTTCATTGTGGGAAATGCCAAAACATAAAACATTAAAAGCAAAAAATGAAACATTAAAAGCTACGAGCAAGAGTCAAGAGAAAATAACCCAAAACAGAATACGAAAAACACAGTATTGGCCATGGAGGGGAAGTCTTCAATCTGTAACTGCTATCATATACCATAACAACTTTTTAACAGTAACTTTCAGAGATGAAGAGAATGTTTTTAGACCCAAAAGGATGGTCCACACTTCCCAAATAGCATTTTAGTAATTCAGCTTTCTCTTTTAACCTATATATACCAAAAACCAGATAGAACCTTCAAAATCAAACAACCTAGTTGATATAATTTGCTTATACATAATGGATTCCAACCAGCTTGCAGGTTGAATCATGAATGGAATCAGGTGGGGCATGATATTTCACATAGTATCATGATGATGATCAGAAGGTGAAGATGATAGATCCAGTGTAATGTACATTTGTCTTTTACAGTTTAAAACTGATTTGCCAAATTACTATACACATCAAAGTTTTAACCGGGTATTTTACAGTTTAAAGCAGAGTGCCCAACTTATCTCTTACCACACCCCCCGTTCATACACACACGCACACACAGAAGAGAGCCTGGTTCTCTCATGTTAAACTATTTTCTTTTTTTCTTTTTATAAGCCTCTCATGTTAATCTATCTGTCCAAAGATAGAATACTTTTTTGTACTTTTTTGCTAAAATGTATTTACTTTTTGTTTTCTTATCAAGGATAAAAATCCCCTGTACAGACACTACCACACACGAGTTGCACCTCCATATTCTACACATTTTTGGTGGAATGCATTTTACTTTATTTCTTCAAAATTATAGTCAACATTAAGGATGTCAGTGGATTGGATTTTAATCCATTCCAATCCAACTCATAACTAGTAACTTCGGATGATCCATTATAGATTTAATAGATTGAAAGTAATTTTTTTTTTCTAGTTGGATTAGTTTGAATATATCCTAGTACAATGACTCCAATCCAATAAAAAATCAATCCAAATTCCCTTGCTCCGTCATATTTGGAATGATTGGTTTCCACCTAGATATCATGATCAACATGGTATATGTTATATCATGACTCCAGCTGGACCACGTCTTCTCTCGGAAAATCTGGAGTCAGAGAATTTAGTAGCATTTTATTTGCAGTGACATCTTGATCACTGGTCGGAGCTCTACACGGGAACTTCGCAGAATACAAGGCCTCCTATATACCTTCTGTACTTGGTCAGGTTAGTCTATTCTCGATCAATATCCTATACTTTGGCTCGAGTGAAAATTTTGACAATTCAGTATCTGAACTTTTAAAATGTGACAATCTAATACTTGCTGTTAACCAGTCCGTTAATCAACACATTTGAAAAGTAAAAAATGTCCTTCAAATGTCATGTAATTCTCTTTATCAACCATCTAAACATTGACAAAAAACTGAACAGTCCCAAAGTCTAGCCTCTTTTGTTCAAAAAAGTTGGTGACTGTTTAGAAGAATCTAGGATTTGGGACTATTCATTTTATTGCCAATATTTGAATGGTTGATAAAGAGAATTAGATGACATTCTTAGGGTGTCTTTGACTTTTCAAATATGTTGATTAACGGATTGGTTAACGACAGGTATTAGATTATCACATTTTGAAAGTTTGGATACTGGATTGTCACATTTTAAAAGATAAGTACTGAATTGTCACATTTTAAAGTTCGGGGATCAAATTGTCACTCGAGCCAAAGTAAATGTTACTGATAAGGAATTTTCCCTTAATTTTACAAAATCTGCAATATGGTTCTGTAATACTCATTGACAAGGCCGGGTCCGTTTAGCCTCATTACTTGCTGTGCCTCTAATGTACCCCAATGAAACCTACTTGGATTGTCCCTTACGACCCTTACGACCCACTAGGCCGAGGTCCCCTGATTACTAATTTGGGGTTGGCATGATGATTCATGATTCTCGTCATATTTATTTGAAGAATTGGGAAACCTTCCTTCAAACCAAGGAAGAGGGTGGATTAGGATTAGAGACATGTATACTCAGAACCAATCACTTGTGGTGAAACTTGTGCGTCACAAACCTTGGGCCTCTATTTTTCACTTATTGCAGGAGTTTACTCTCTTCGTTACTATGTGTCACTTTACTAGAGGAGTGTTAATCGGACTGGAATTGGTCCAATCCGATCCAGTCCAATGTGAGTTATGTTTTGGACTAATTTGGACCAATCTAATTTAATGTCTGGACTGTCCAATCTGTTCAAATTCATTTTTGATTTAGATTAGTTTCAATCCAAACTTGGTCTATTGACACATATTTTTATATAAATGGATTAGAATTGACTTAATCCAACCCAATCCAATATAAATTTGTTGTGGATGGATCGAGTCCAGTCCAACCTAATAAATATTTGGGGTTTTTACCGTTCAATCCACCCCTAGGTGGAGTTAGGATTTCTAGGAGTGGACTGGAATCCTACCCATGGATGATGTCGGATCACGGGCAGGCAGACGTTTATAGGGGAGGCTACTAATAGATTAGGAGTGGGCTGCAATTCAGATTTCTGAGGGGGATTGCAATCCAAAAATCTCTAAAATATTTTAGACCAAATTGGTCCAATCCAATATGTCTTATTCTGTCCGATTTAATTTTGGAATGGACGGGGTCCAATCCAAAACCGGTCCATTGACACCCTTACTTTATTCATGCGCGTCTACAGGAAACCAAGTGGCTCACAACCTGGCGAGGCTTCTCTGATACAAAGCTTTCTTAATTACTTGGTCTTCTTTACCTGAGTTTATTGCCGACCTTCTACCATAATTAGAGCTTTGTTTTCATAAAAAAAAGCCACGTTTCGATTTAGATTACGGGAGAATGATTATCGTCTAATGGATGCTAGTTTTATAGATAACATTTTACAAATAAGTATTAAACAGTGATTAAGAGTGGTAGATTAGATGATCTAATCCGCTTAACGTAAAGGGGTTTCCCCAATTGTCGTTCAATTATTTAAACAACTTGTAATAATTAATACACCAACTTGGACAAAAAAACAAATCAGCAAATAGGTGGATAGAGGGTGACCAATTATTGCCGTTAAAATATTTATTCAGGTCATTAAGAATAGAGGGACGTGTGGTCACCACGCGGACCTTTTAGGCTTTTAGATTAAGATGTTACCGACTACTTGGTAGTGGGTGGACGGTGGAGACTTGAGAGGTTAGCTTAATCACTTCATAGCCATGTGCATCCCACACGCACTAATTACTTGATTCCACAAATTAAGGGTCCATTTGATTCGTAGTTGGAATTGAAACTTTTTGATTCAGAATTGAAATGGTTTATTCTTATTATGGTTTTAAAAATTGGATTGGATCGGACGGTTAGACTAGAAAAATTGGATTGGATCAGGTAATCGAACAGTCGGATAGAATAATGGTTTTTGGCTGTTATTTTTTTTTTATTTTTTTATTTTTTAAGTCAGAATGGGCCATCTGTTCAAATCAGACGGTCAGACCGTTTGATTAAAAAACTGGTCCCTGGTTTCCTGTACAATCCGATTTTTAAAAACCTTGATTCTTATAATCTATTTGGTTCAGACAGGAATAGAAATCGGAATTAGAATTGAAATAAGCTGAAATAGGATTTCATTCTCAAGGAAAGGGGAGGAAATGACCATTCCCTAAAATGGAGAATGTTATTCCACCAAAAATGAAAATGAGATTTCAATTCCGCCCAACCAAACAGTTGCAATCAAAATGAGCCATTCCTATTCCGGTTCCGATTCCAAACCCTATTCCCGCGAACCAAACGGGACCTAAACTCCGTGGGTTTGCCTCTTTGATGATTTTTTAATTAAATCGTATCCTTGGGCCCATTCTTGTTTTAACAACAAGCGTTCAGCCCAACCCAAACCAAAACCTTGAAAAAGAAAATGATGGAGAAAGCTGGGCCCAGAATGGTGACGTTTTGCGATCTTTTTCTGTAATGACGTTAGATGAAGAAATGGGTCGCGGGCCTTATGGAGCATTGGATTGCAGATGCAGCATTAGTGGAGGTGGCATTTATGCCAAAGGAAAAGGTGGGTGGAGGCACGGGGCCCTTTTACTTGATTCCAATTTTACGATCAAAAAGGATGTCACTCATGGGAAGAGAGGGGATCGTATACATAGGGAATCAAATCCTTTTGATGTGGCCTCGTATCAATATCTCAATTCTCAAGTCAATGCTTATATTCCCTTTTCTATCTGGCCCAAAACCCAAGCTTGGATAGTTGGATATCATATTATAGGTATTACGTTGAGAGAACTCGCGAAAGAATCCGTCTAACCTGCCACGTGCCCACCTTTAATAACGCATTTTTTCCACCCCAACCAAGTGCCAGGACAAAAAGAAGAGGAATTTGCGGGTTTTCCTGAGAGCCTGAGACAAATGGTGTATAGTCATTCTCCCTAAAGGAAATACCCACTTGGACGTTGTCTCATACAAGGGGTTTACTTCGTGTGAAGCGAGCTTTACAGTGATTTAAACAACAAAGAAAAGATTCCATATCAACGGTATGTATAATTTGATGATTTTGAGAAGGGATTATCCAATATCCACTCCTTTGGCCGAGGATATTCAATATTGACCACCTTCATATTTTATTTTATTTTGGAGGCAAAAGCCGTAAGCCACAATAATAAAATAATAACTAAAAGAACAAGGCCTAAAGTGTTTTTGTTTGAAATTGTTGAATTCCAATTTCCAAAGATGTGGACAAGGTAACTTCATTTCAGCTGATTGGCTTCGTCGTTACGACGATATCGAGTACTCTCCACCAACCCCACCACCCGTCAACCGTCGAAGCTGCTTGCCGCTGGCGTCCCCACCCCCCGCCAACCTCTCTCCTGCCGCCTCATGCCTCCGCATTTCTAGGGTTAGGGTTTCTCTTGGCATGGAGATTCCACATCCACCACCATCTGATCAGGCAGTTTCCCTCACCCGGGTCAGGGCTCCCGAAATGGAGTTCCCTCAGATCCTTGACGAAGCTTCCGCCCCTTGGGAATGGGGTAATCTACTGGACTTCACCGTTGACGACCAATTGGTCGTCTCTTGGGATTCCGATAATAATCCTACTATCGCTCAGGCGCCGGAACTTGTTCCCCAGCCTTTCTCGAATCGGGGGACCGACGCTTCCGATCGAGTGAGGAAGAGAGACCCCAGGTTGACTTGTTCCAATTTCTTGGCCGGACGGATCCCCTGCGCTTGTCCGGAGATTGACGAGAAGGACGAGGGGGAAGCAGCGGTTGGGAAGAAACGGGCCAGGACGGCCCCGGTGGGCACCGCCCGGTGTCAGGTCCCTGGTTGCGAGGTTGATATTAGCGAGCTGAAGGGTTACCATCGGCGGCATCGTGTTTGTCTTCGTTGCGCCAATGCCACTTCTGTTGTTCTCGACGGCCAGTCTAAGCGATATTGCCAACAGTGTGGCAAGTAAGATAAATTTTCTTGTTTGGTTTGTCGGCTTTGAATTGTTTGCTCCAAAATCTCTCTCTCTCTCTCTCTCTCTCCTCCTCCTCCTCCTCCTCCGTTTCCGTTCGTTTCTTTTGGAATAATTTGGAGACCAGTCAAAAGTATTAACCTGAATTACGGGCAACCTTTTCCTTACCCATGAGCTTTGGAGGAATCAAACAAATAACGAGGAAAACGAGTCTTCATAAACTCGAAACTTATTGAGCAGCAACTGTTATTTCTTGTAATTAATCGAACAAAAACGGTTTTATTGGTCTAATTGCTAAATTTAACGTCAAAATAATGGTTTGGACTATATTGTCTCCCACGAATTACGTTCTTTAAACCATTATATTCATGTTGTAAGCATCTCAAGTCGACTATTGGGGCCTTTTGATTGCTATGATTGTTATATGGCTTTGAAACATTAGCAAGAACCATTTTAATGGTTCTAATGGCTTGAAAACATCAAGGATAAGCATTCTTACCATTTCAAATTCAGAGGACAGTCACATTTATTTATGTCTATTTCTTTTGAATAAGATATTGGTGCTGCCGAGGAGCATCCTGGCATTCTTGAAGGAAAATTAACTTCTCTGGGCCTCTTGAATATCTTGTTCCCATTTTTCTAATTTTCTTTTGTCTCAAGTTATTTCATGCTGAGGTCAAGGTGCTGTTGAGTTTCTTTTAGTGGTTTGTCTGTCTAAGTTAAGAACCAGTCTCCTCCATGTTTAGAAACTGTTAGGTTGGTCATGAACTCATGATAAATAGTATGCAGCTTTGCACCACTATTAGCTTCAATATTGCGTGCAGGAAATGGGATCTTAGTTGTCCATGAAGTTTGATCCCTATTACTAGGCACCATACTGGTTGTGGTTGACTCTGTCTCATTTTCCTTTTTTTTTTCAGCAACACAGAAAAAGATTCATTCATTAAGAAATTTTTAATAAAAAAGATTACAACAAGAAGTTGTGACTTGTGAGAAACCAACAAACCCATTACAAACTGAACCGACCAACACTGTATTACAATTGTGGCCCAATACATATGCTGTCTTTGAACCCTTTGCTTAGCTAAGTCATCTGCCAAGCTGTTAGCAGATCCCCTAACCCATCTTATCTGAATGTTCATGTCTTTTGCTAGCCATTTGAAGTGCCTGAATTCATTCCTCCAATTCCTGAGGGACCCGGATTGCCCACACTACTACCATCAAAATTCAGTTTCATCCAACCACCCTCTAGGGGTGACCAAATTCCTGAACAATTCTTCCACCTTGAAATCTGAGAATAGTTTCAAGGTCTTTACTTGATGTGCAACTCTTAGGGTTATGAGCTCAACACACAATTTCTCGCATGAAGGTGTCTGTTTGAGAAAAAAATCAATAAATCAAAGCCCCTAGGACTGATGAAATACTTAAAAGCAGACCATTTAACATTTGGACCACCATGCTCTGTGGCTGAAGTTTTTTTGGTTATCACTGTGGCAAGCTCATGCTTCAACCTCATGTAGCCCTTTCAGTCTTTCACTTTATTGGTTCTTATTAAACTTCATGCAACCTCTTTTGTGAATCTAAGACACGAGGTATGTTCTAGTTTCAACTATGAACAGTTTCAACAAACACACCTGAAATCATAGGACTGATGGAGTGTGTCAAATTGTGTCCTTTAACCTTTAGAGCTGTTACAGATTTCTTGTATTCAGCAGTAGCTAATTCTTGATGTTCTTAAGATGCATATATCCCCCCTCTCTCTTTCTTTGTGTGCTTTTATATTTTATACTAATGTTCTTCTGTAAAGAGACTCAATTAATGGAACCCTTTAGTTATCTCTTATTGGATGACCAATGAAAAGATGTTTCACTTTGTTCAGGTTCTGTATGCATAGATGAAGGAATGAAGAACCAACTCCCTATTTCAACTTATCAAAAAAAAAAAAAAACGAATTCTAGTCCTTTTTTTCTGGCATCACTTTAGGTGGTATTTTTTCATTAAGCTGGTTCCTTTCTTGTTTAGACTGGATGAATTTACTAAATGCATCACAAAATCAAAAGAAATTCCTCCTAGAGAATTGCCACCCAGATTATAAGCTTTAGCTTTTAACATTTATATGATATAGGTAGGCTTATGTATTCTTAATCTGAATTCTGGGTTTATCTCTCTTTACGTTTTCAGTAACTGGTGTTTCTACTTTCTATCCTTGTAAATCTGCCAATTGTTCTTGATTGATAGGCTAAGCATGCAGTAATTGAATCTAGCTGGTGCTTATAAAATTTGTGTAATGGCTATTTATCATCTGAAGACTTTTCTATGATTTTGGAAGATTTTTTCTGATTATCAACTTATCCAGCAACTTTATTGATAAGAGAGAAAGAATGATGTACATGAAGAGCAGAATGGTGCCCTCTCAAAAATGAGAAAACTCTTGACTCAACTACTTTTTCTCATTAAACAACACTTAGCTAGTGGATTACAACCTTTTGCCCCAAAGTGCAATAAGATTCATTTATTTAACATCTCCCCAAGCTAATGTATTTGCCATACTGTGTGCCAATATTTGAATCTATCAAAATGTGGAGTTGATGGTTTGAAGCAAAATCCCACTTCCCTGATAGTATGTCTGTTGATTTGCAGCCACCAAATTACTATCTGAGAATTCCCTTCCACCTCAAGATTATTATATTCAAGGGAGCATCTGAGTGTCAGCCCTCGAAGTAGGGCTAGTAATTGGAGTATTTACCTGAGAATATAGCAAGCATATCTCCCTGAAAATAATAGTTTTTTTCCCTGATAAGTAAAGACAAATTTTATTAAAAACCATTTAAGGCATTACAATCAACCCCAAGGAGAGGCACAGGGTACTACCTCTCACAATTTAAAATATGATTACAAATGCAAATTACAATTGATCCCTGTTTACCCCTATGTGCATACTGATTGCATTTTATTTTCACAGATCATTTAACATTCAGGGTCACTAGGAGTTTTTTGTCCTAACAATTCCTTCTCTGATGCCAGGTTTCATATATTGTCAGATTTTGATGAAGGTAAACGCAGTTGTAGAAGAAAACTAGAGCGCCACAACAAGAGGCGTCGGAGAAAAGCTGTTGATTCTAGAGGTGCAGTTGAAAAGGAAGGTCAGGGGTCCTTGTCACCTGAAGATACTTCTGGTGATGCTGAAGCAGGGAAAGGTATTATTTTCTATAGCTGATGTAACTACTCTGCCTGTTTGTACGACAAAAGGGGCTATCATTTTTTGCAGTTAAGGCAGCCTGGATATCTTTTTGGAATTTGGTATTAAATTTGTTGTAATTGGTATATACTGTGAGTTCCTGCTACAGATAAAAGAAATGAGGCTCTTAAAGAGATCTATACCACAGAATCATATTAATTATATTATAATTGCCTAATACCTTGTGGTGATAACTTCATAGAGACTTTAATGGGTCTGAGAGAATTGCTTTGGCACAGATACCTTATGCTTGAATGATCGGGTGCCACAGAGAGAAGTGACATTGGAACCTGAAGATGGACATGTCTCCCCACCTTGTTCAGCTCCAAGTTCACAGAATGTCCAAAGTGATAGTGTTGTATCTTTTGCTGCTTCTGGTGAAACTCCTATGGATGGTAGAAAAGAGAACTCTAAAAATGCTATTTCATCACCCTTTTGTGACAATAAGAGTGCTTATTCATCTGTGGTAGGTCTAGTTGAAACCCATCCTACCTTGTTATTTTCTTGCATATCTCCTTGTGTTGGGTTTTAGAAGGTGCATCTTTTCTAGTATCTGAAACCTTTCTTTAACTTTACTGATACTGCTTATTTGATTGTAGTGTCCAACAGGTCGGGTATCATTCAAGCTTTACGACTGGAACCCAGCTGAATTTCCTAGACGACTTCGGCATCAAGTATTTCTAAAAGATTATAATTGCAGTTTAGTATTTGCAGGAGAATGCATTCATCGCACTAGCAATATGATAATTTGATTAATGGGTGATTGTTATCTTTGCAGATATTCCAGTGGTTGGCTAGCATGCCGGTTGAGTTGGAAGGATATATTCGTCCTGGATGTACCATTTTGACGGTATTCATTGCAATGCCACAAGTTATGTGGGACAAGGTATTAGTTTATTAATTCAGTTACTGCTGTAGCTAATATCTGTTTTGGGAATGCTTTTTTTTTTTTTTTTTCAACTTTTAGGATGGATCAATTGTATCCTAAGTAATAAAGAAGAATTTTGTTAAAAGAAAATTCAGATTACAATTGAAGCTTAAAATATTTCTGATTTATGATCATTTTTTTATTGGATATTTTGCAGTGTAACTATTTAGATGCTTTTTAATGATAGTTAATAAACTCAGCACTCTTCCAGTTATGATAATTCAATGTTAGGCGCTTGCTGATGTTGGAATCAACAAAACTATCTATGCTTGTTAAAGATGCCAGTTTCTGTTGAAATAAACTCTATCAAGCATTTGAAAAAATATAATGAATTAAAAGCATATGTGGCTCTTTTTTCTTTCTGTTCTTTGATATTTCTTCCTTGTTTCCTACCTTAGTCCCCCCCCCCCCCCCATTGGTGGGACCTCCCTCCCTCTATCTCTGCAATTTCCTCTTCATATCTATCAAATTTCTGTTGATATGCAATTTTGGTAATGCCATCTGGTGGCAACCTGTTGCTTTCCTTCTATCCAGCCTTTTTTCTCTTCCCTTTTATTGTTGATGGTGGTGACAATGGAGAGGATCATAAGCATCTAATATCTCCAATTAATGGTAGTAGTCCTTTTATTCTGGTTTGTCTTGCTTATATTATGATTTTTCCTGGTTTGTCTGCTTGGCACTGATGTTGGTCTCTAAAGTCTAAATAAATGGGGTTTTGGGGTTTGACCACTTTCAGGGTGTAGCCCTGCCTAAGATTGACTCCCTGTAAAATAAATGGGGTTTTAGGGTTTGCCACTGATGTTGTGTGCCTTTGAAACTTCCACACACAAGTTTGTGCATATTGGGTGTCTCTTCCCAAGTTAGGTCTTTATTTAGGTCCTTATGGTTTTCATCATTGTGTTCACCTTAAACTTAGCTACTTAGTTTATTGTTTTTGGTTGGCTTCCTGAACTCCACTCTATTTAGAGCTACATCTTAAAAGTATGAGCCTTACAGTTTTTCCTTGTTGTCTCTTAACATCCTTCTTTGATCTGTCCTGGTTTAAAATATTCCCCTGATTGTCCTTTTAGAGATGACCATGCTTTCTTGGTTAAATTTCCTTCTCGTCACTGGGTGTTCTGTTTATATATACTTCTGTTTATCTTATCATGACTTAAGCCTTTGACTGGTCCCCTTGTTGGGTTTGTTGCATTGATTTGACTTGTTGCTTTTGTGGCCTAGACACTAATTGAGTATTGTGTAAACCTTTTCAATTTTTACTAATGCTTCAAAAGCATATGTTGCAAATACATGGACCTTTTAGGTTTGTGCGAAAAAGAGAATTTATTGCATAAGCCTTATCTTTAATTCACAAGCAGGTTGATCTTGTTATGGATAACAAACCGGATGCACTCATTAGTTCCTAAAGGAAGTTATTCTTTTTGGATGGAATATAAGTTTGCTTTTAGATGGTGGAATCACAGCCAAGAACTGACAATCTATTTTTTGTCTTGCTTATTGTTCAATATGGTTATAAAACTTATTACTGGTTCTCACTCTTTCAGTTTTTCCTTAGATGGCCAGCTACTATTTCAATATTATTCAACCAAATCTCACTCTTTCGTTTTTTGCTCCCCCTTTTTGTTTTATGGTCCATGATTTTCTTCTATGCTATTGTTGTCTCCTATGTTATTATGGTCTGTTCTCTTCTCAACTCAACAAAATATAACTCCATCTTGTTGCATTAAGCAGTTGTCTCAAGATGCGGCATCCTATATACATGGATTTGTTACTTCACCTGAAAACATACTTTGGAGAAAAGGCGTGATGCGTGTTTATTTATGTAACATGATTTTTCAGGTTCTAAAAGGTAAGTTGGTATCTGTAGGTCAGAGTTTATCTATTTGTAGTTAACGATCAGAATAGTTCTATCTTACTGGTTCATATTTATTAAATAGGGAATTCATTTATTATCCTTTAATCTTTATTAAGAGTATGTTTGCCTCTGCATTGAGCATTGTTGAATGCTGGTGTTATGTTTTGATTGCTTGGATGAAAAGAAGCTATTTCTGGATATGCAGAATAATTTTTAGCTTCTGCTGAGTTTTATTTGTCTTTTATTTTTATACATGAAATACATTTTTTCCTTTGAATCTTTGTGACCTTAAGGATGTGTTGAATTTGGATTATGGGAGGGGTTATATGTGGATTATACATTTCAGCTGAAAAGTCCTGCTTTGGAGTATCCATGATGATAAGTCGACCCAAATGATGGAATCCAAGCATGGCCTTTGGTTAGATAGAAATGGTGTTTTTACTCCTCTTTTAAGTAGCTTCCTATGTTGACTTAGTTTTAGATATAATTTCCAGCAAGCCACTAACATTTACTGTAAATTCTTTTGTGTTATGTCTACTTTAAATAGTATTTGCACAAAATCTAGGGGTCAATTCCAAGAACTTCCCCCTCTCCCAATGTTTGGGAATCAGGTGTATGAATTGATATTTTCCTCTATCTTCAGAAATCAGTGGGAGTGAGAGTGAAAAAACCATTATATGGAACTCTTATGGTGATTCTAGAATGAATTGATGATATGCTGTTTCTACTGAATGGTCCACTGGATGGGGGCTGGCCTCTTTCCTCTCTATCTTTATTAGACCTTCTATTGTTAAATTATGGGCTTTCAAATCATTCACTACTTCAACCAAAACCCTTTTGGCCTGCCTCCGTCTCTTATAGACCCTTAAATTTCCAAAAGGTTACTGTTGCAAAAGACTAGTTGTTATTTCTTTTGTCAATAGGTCTGAAATTGTATTACTGAAGTAGTAGGATATGCCTGGACAAAGAGCTCAACAAAAAGAAGACTAGAAAAGAAGTAAGGCAGGGCAAGACCACAAAAAATAATGAACACTGGTCCCTATGCCAGCAATGAAAGATCCAAGTATTTTTTTTTGGTAAAAGAGATAATTTCATTAATATTGCCATAGCTATGGAAAAAACCAGTACAATCAAAGATGCATAAAAAACCATAACATGGAAACAACACCCTAACAGGAAATATCTGAACTAGCTAAATTAACAACCACTCAGGGCATTCAAAAAGAAACTCGCTCTGATCTACCAGACCTCTTTGAGGTACAGCATGAGCCACCATGTTACGAGATCTCTTAACAAGAGAAAAAGGAGCAAGAAAAACAAACAGCCATGGATATGATATCTTTGAACAAAAAATAGGCATCAGCACCAACATGAATGAATCCTTTTTGAGCACCATTACTTGAGCTTCAGCTGTTGGGCTCCACTATGATCTTTGAAAACCACATCTCTTGGCAGTCTCCAACCCACGTCTAGCAGCAAAAGCCTCCATCAACAAGAACCCAAATTGCGATAACTGCAAAGTTTTCGTTATTTGGAGACACAAACCCTCCATCAACAATTATCTTAAGAAAACCTTCTTCTGGAGGCTTCCAAAAAGAAGAAAGGGCTGAGCTATCCACTTCAGGATTGGAGTAGCCTTTGGAGCAGGGTTTCAAATTCTCTATTGTGCTCTTCATGATCATGTTAATTTGAATCATATTGTCATTCATAACACCATCAGCATTAGCGTTTTCAGAAATTATTCTATTCTGAGATTTCATATGTTGTCAGTGTTATTCACTTATTTTTTATATTTGCTGTTAGTGTGCTGTCAGCCTAGGATGCTGTCAACTTGTTCTTTTCTTCTTTTAATTAATTTATTATTGTTGAGTGGGCCGACTTGTGTTTAGTTTATTTTCTTTTAAATTAAGATGTTGTTGGGCCTTGGGCCCATTAGTTTTTATTTTTTTTAAAGAGCTGTAATTACTTAGTTTGAGTTGCCGTCCTACTAAGGGCATCCTTGTAATATCTCATACTTAAGTTAATTATAAATTGAATGAGGGGCTGGCGGCTAGGGTCATGTGAATCTATCCTAGTCGACCTTCTTCTCTCTTCTTCCCTTTCCTCTGTCTCTTGCTGAAATCCCCAACTTTCTACTCTTCCTTTCACAAGAA